GTACTGCTCAGTGGAGCGGAGACTTTCTAACATTTAAAAAAATAAAATATTTTTATTTTGTTTATTATAGGCTTTAAAACGTGAAACACAAGAAGTGTTAATAAAGTGAAGGGGCCTGAATACTTCTCAAAGTGGCTGCATAACTTTAAATTAGAGAATGCAATGCAAAAGGAGCAAAATTACCCAAACATACAAGAGCGATGTACACCGACAACTTAGTCAGACAATCACTTTTTAATGGTCTAAAAAGCTTAGGATGATATAGTAGATATTATTTAGCAAACTGACATCTTAAAATCATTTTTTGTGTTAAAAAAAACAGCGAACACTGACGCCCACGAGGCTAGAAGCAGTAAATTTGTGGCATTTCCGCCCCAAACTCCAAATCTCGTCAGCTGAAATCCTTGCATCCACCTGGTCATGCTGTAGCTCTGTATCTGCACATCACTTTACAACACACCTCCACTCCAATTCTTCGATTTGACTTTCCTGACTTAAACAACCTCAAATCTGTTGTCACTGATCTTGCTCTGCTCTGTGCTGCTATCCCCACCGTGTATGCAAGAGGTCCCAGAACAAATGTGACAATATCTGGCATTTTTGTGCAATTTATTGACACAAAAATTAAAAATACGACACAGTGTTACAGGGTTAAGATGTGGTGATTGATTCATAGTGTTCATTTATAATTAAAGGTTATCGTAGCTGCCTTTGAGTGTTTCTTTTCCTATATTTTGTCCAGTTGCTGATGGAAAAAAGTGAAAGATGGACCCAAAGAGCAATTCTCATGTATCTCGCTCATGATCAGCATTTTGATTGGCTGGTTAGTTAACCAATTTAACTCAATTTAAACATGCCGCTGTAATAACAATGCTTAACTGCAGAAATTGCATTGTGCCTTTATATGCGTGTCATCGATGGGCTCTGGCATGTAAAAAGTAAAAGGTCCATTAAACCCACAGCCACACCTCCTCACTGAGGTAAAAGTTTTGGCCCCTTTTTTGTTCAGAGTTGCTCCAAAATCACCCTGAAGCTGGAATTCCTTTTTAATAATTTTAGGCTAAGAGCTCAGAGATAATTCTCTGAAGATTTGTGAAAACACGCTTTGACTATTAAATGCCCAAGAAGTTAATGTTCACTCAGTAAAACAAAGTTAAACCCTGCCAAGAACAGTTCCCATACAACCTGCTGTTACTTACCAAGTATCCCACAAACACCAGGTATGCTATGGACAGGAAAGCCGACAGCACGTACAGCCACACGCTGCCCAGCATGCTCACGTAGACTACAACGAAGTACATGTTGATGGCACACACGATCAAGATCACCACTCCGCCTCCTATCTTAAATACCCTGCAGAAAGATAAGAACGGGTGAAGTTCAAAGGCAGGCCCGCTCCAATAAAAGTTCAGATGATGTGTTAACGCTAAAAAGGCACATAAACAACATATCAGCTGATGAAAATAATAGATGTTATGGATTTTTGAAAAACCGATGCCCCAGTTGGGGGGAGGAAAAAAAAAAGTCGGGACAATGGTAAGGTTTTACTCTTGATTCATCTCAGTTTGGAAACTAAGGAGACTTTCTGCTTTATATTTGAAAGAAAAATATTTTCAGATTCGTGCCTGGTATAAAATTTCAGCTGCTCAGCACTTCCTTTGTCATATTTGTTATGTCCTCGTGCTTGGCATGTCTGGAACCGTGCAGAACATGGTTTGGCAAAGACTTGCTAAAGTCTGCAGGGCAGCTTATGTTGCTCCAAAACCCACGCACATCATTAAGCACTAATGGTGCTTTTAAAGATATGCAAATTTTCCACGCACAGATACCAACTTTGACACAGGATGGTCAGGTGTCCACTTGGCCACAATGCCTCTTGAATGAGCCCTGAACAGGATGGCGTTTAGATCTGTCTTTTTGCCTGCATGGTGGATATTTAACTTTATATTTGTGGATGCACCACTGAGGGTTTCCCAAGTGTTCCTGAGCCCACACAGAGATTTTAACTGCAGCATCGCGTCTCTTTTAAACTTTTCCCTTGTATACAGAGATTTCTCTGAGATGATGAATTCCTCTATTTCTTTTCAATTTGATGTTGAAGAAAAATTATTTCCAAATTATTAAACAAATTGCCCTTGTAATCTCTCACAGTGTTGAACCCCTTCTCATTTTTGCTCCTAAAGTCCTCCTCTCTGGGGTACTCTCTGTGTAATTTTATACTTATGTTACTAATTAACTGCATTTGCTCTCAGATGATGCATCACGGGTTTTTTTACTCATTTTTTCCAGTCTTTTGTTGCTCCCATTTAAGGGTGTTGCTGGTATCAGATTAAAAAGAAGCTTTTATTTTAAAAAGCAAACAAAAAACCCCCACAATTTTTCAGTGTCATCACTTTGCATTTTTAATATGAGCAATAAATGATTTGTATTTTGCTTTGTTTAAAGAACAGGGTTCTAATAAAAACAAGCAGGTTTGATTTGATTTACTTACAGTCCATTGGCAAACTCGTTCATGAGAGATGGCAAACTGGTAAACGTGAGGATGGGAATGAGGGCGAATGGCAGCTGGGAGAAAAGAAGAAGATGATGTGTTACACTAAATGATCACACCAACTGTTAACGTCTTCGTCCACTGGGAGGTGCAGAGGGAAGTCGTTTGGCACATCTGGAGTGATTTTGTAATTTTTTTCCCTTTTAGCTACCTCCGTGTCTGCTTGTACTTGTAGTAAAGTTTAGGTAGAATACTCAGGTAATGAAATGAGGAAGTTCAAATCTATTCTGATACTTATTTAGCTGCTTTCCTGTTTTTATGGGCACTTGAAGTGTTGGAGTTCATTGGCAGATGTTTTCCTTTGTTTGTCCCTCTGTGTTGTCTGGCAGGCTCCTTGTTGGCAGAGCTAATCAATGAAACTGGCAGCATTTAAGTCTCAGTCTTTGCACTCTGTCCATTCACATAGCACTGTGTTATTTACTTGATTGGCTTTGGCCTGGTTATTTTAGGCTTTACACTACACATTACCATACACCAAACACTGGAGCGTGTGAAAAAACAAACACATCTCAAATGTATTGTGTTGAAGTGATATCTACTGAAGATGAATTAGAGCTGGTCTTTGATGTAATACCAGTCTGTATCACAAGATGGTGCTGCAAATGAATGTAATCTTGATTTACTTTTTAAATAATTGTGTATTTTGAGATTTTACAAAGATCTTCTTATTTATTTATTTCTGCTGCAGAGGCTGACACAGAGATATACAACTAAATTTAGAATTATATCAATTAACTCAACCCCATGCATGTCTTTGGACTGTGCGAGGACGCTGTAATACCTGGAGGAAGCAAGTAAACTCCACACAGTGAGGCCGCTTCCAAGGAGACAGTTATGTTAGCTTTAGGAAAGGAAGTTGTGGTTTTAAGCAGGTGTGGTTTACATGGGGGTGACTCTCCTACAGCGCTTCGTATGCACAGGAGGAACAGCGAGGTGGAGGTGTTCCTGGCTTTACATGAGTGACTTCAAAGAGGAATGAGGCATCTTAAAAACATTTCCTGCTAAACTGCTGCCCCCTGGTGGTGAAAGTTTTACATAAATTCTGGAGATATTACAAGTTATTAACTATTTGTTAGTTAACAGCAAATAACTAACTAAAGGTGTATTAATCATACTGAATGTAGTTACATTACGAATACTACATACACTAAGTATTACTGTTAACATTTTTAAAAACCCTACTTATTTAAAAGGTTTTTCATTATTTTGTGCAATGCAGAGCAAAACTGTTGATTTTAGTGGTTTAAATGGCTCAACTGGATTTATTTAACTTTACACAGTATCATTACATTCTTAAACAGCTTCATGAGGTTGTAAATGTTTTTGGTTAAAAACAAACAGCAGTTTTTTAAGCAATGCTTAAAAAAATCTATTTTCTCTTGTTAAGTTTGGAAGTTTGAGCACTGGAAATCAATAATTCAGACTACAGCTCACATCAGAGCACTGATGATTCCTTTATGATAGAAATGCTGCAAAGAAACCAAGACTTCAGAAGACCAAGAAGAAGAAAAAAACTTGGACAAACAAATATTGGACATCTGGATGAATCCAGATGTGAGCTCTGTGTCTTTGTGAGGCACAGTCAAGGTGAACGGATGTTATCTGCATGTGTGGTTCCCACTGTGAAGCTTGAGACACGGTCGGTGATTTATTGAGAATTCAAGGCAACACTCGAACAGCATGGCTACCACAACATCCCACATTGACGCGCCATCCCATGTGGTTCATGCTCAGTGGGGCCATAATTTGTTTTTCCAGCAGCACCGTAAGAGCTGCTTGACCAAGAAATAGAGTGATGGAGTGAGCTGACCTCTGCAGCCATCTGACCAAAACGCAGCTGACAGAGTTTGTTTGACAGCCAACAAATATTTCCATATCAATAACTATGGCACGGTTTTGATGTGTTCAGTGTTGATGTCTCTAAGGAATAAGTGTCCAAACTTATTATTTCAAAGGGATGTGGTGTTCGTTTGATTCTAGGTGCTTGTAAAGTTGAGGGAAACGGAGGAGTAAATTAAACTCCCCCAAAAAGGATTGATCCCACATTTCCCAGAATGCAGCTTGTGTTTTTCCATTAAAACCTCCATGCCCACTGCCTTTATAATCCACAACACCACTCTGTAACTCTGGTTTTTAGCTAACACCTCACCCTGAGAAAAAAACCCGAAGAAGTCTTCAGGTTTTTGTTCCTCACGTTATGAAAACGTCCCCCAAAAACATATTCGCAGACATGTTATTACAGATCAAATGAGACATGATGAAGGTATTTATACACAATGTCGTACGATATACGCACAAGCAAACATTTTCCCTTCCTAGTTATGGAAAGAGTGAAAATGTTTCTTTACACCTGTTTGCAGGACACCTGCTGCTATAATGATAGACTATAATGATGCATAGCTGCAGTGTTTGTAGCTGCTGCAGTCAACACCTTCAAGAAACCTCATGTATAAATGAATCTGCAGTGATGCACAGTGATTTCAATTGACGAGGCTTAATGCCTTTAAGCTCTTTTATGTTCAATTATCAGTTTTAAGATGTAGTTCTACACATGACCAATCCCACTATGCAGACAGTGGTACAGCTGAATTTTTCCCCTGTAATTTTTGTCTTGCTTAGCTTATCTGAGCATGCATCTGTCCTAATGCACGCTCACTCATCCAGGTAAGGAAATCCCAGAAAGCCGATCCATCTGGATGGAGCAATTTCAGTGGGAGTGATAAAATGTTTCTCCCACTGAAAACGTCCAGATGATATATTGCTGTTTTTAAGCAATAAAGATTAATGATCATTATTTATATTTAACTGTTGTCACACACTGAGCAGCACAAACCACGATGAGTAAACCTGACTTATAATGGTGATTAACACCTGCAACGTTTTCACTGCTGTTTTTGAATTTATCAGTGAGAGAATAACAATGGCCGCCTCAGTATAAGGAATAATAATCATAGCATCAATATAATATATAAGGACTCACAAATGCCAGAAAATTCCCAGAGGAAGATTGATGAAACTGTACACTTCTTTGTAGAAAGAAGTGCAAACACTAGAGGGACAAATACTGCACACTGCA